GCTCAGTGTGTGTAGACACATACTGTGAAGACGATGCATGGGCATATAATCGGCATCATAGTTAAAATTACGCGCCTGCATATGAATAAGAAATCGACAGATTAAATAGTGATTACAGTGAAGCCAATGGAATAGTAATCAAAGGGAAAATTAATTAAACAGCAATCAACAGAGCTTGTCAACACTTTACAAGGTACCTATTTTTATATTAATAAATAAACTAGTCACATCTAGCACAAGAAACCTAGGCAATTTCGCATCCCCTGACGCAGTCGACAGGTGATGGACACTTGGTTGTGCATTCTCTAAAATACTTGACTCAATGACGCAACAAGTCAAGATCATCCTCAAGGCCAGACTACAGTATATCGACTGATCGACAATAAGGACATTTTCAAGAAATCCTTCAGATTTGTAAGGTTTATAATCATAAAGACGGTTTATAAATAACTAAAGACACAATTGATTAGTTAATAAATTCCATTAAACATCTTACACCATATCAAGTAGTTATTCATACATCACGCATACTTGATTCAAACACCATCTTCTCATGCTAACTCACCACAAGCATGATTGACTGACTACATCAGCTGATATTTACAACATCGGCATTACTTCAACTTCAAGATACTTAGTCACATCCATAGCATCTACAGTAATTCAAGAATACAAGAATAAACCCTCACTACTTCAATAGAATTATTTCTCTCTACATCAAAGTGCAATATTGTTATAATTATTTACATTAATAAACATTGTTTTTACTAAATACATAATATCTTTCAGCCTTGTCTGTTATTGTTTCCTTTGAAGTTATCCTGCTGAGAGACTAGTCCACTGAACTATTGGTAGTTCGAGCCATAAACTAACCCTTTAAAATCGAACAATAATCTATAAGAAGGGAAAATGTCATATCTCATAGACATTTGATCCTTTACATTTCTTATCTTCTTGATTCCAATCTACTTGCATTTTATTTAGATTCAGTAATATCTTCGTAATAGGTTCGTTTTTTCATTTGATTTATTATATCCATCGTGAAGTAGTTTATTATTTATTTATCCCTAGCTATTTTTCATACAAATAGATTTTTTAATTATGAAAACAGTTCGAATAATTTTACGTCTGCTGTTTTGTTTAATCAAATGCTGCTACAGCGTCTAGAAATTTTTCATTATTATTGATGTCAATAATTAATTTATATTATCTAATGAACTATTAGAGTAGTTTTAATTCTTATCATTACATTTAACTTTATTTTTCTTCATTCTTTCTTTATATTACTTAAATATCTTGTGAGAGAAAATTCGATCTTGAATACAAAAAAATTTTATATACATTTAATCTTTTGTATTTGTTTGTATGTAATATTTTTATTATTAAAAATATTTATTTTTTTTACAATTTCAGAGTACTGACTTTTGTTAACTATTCTTTTAATATCATTATTGTCTAAGAATTATAATTACTATTCGTCATGTGACTTGACGATTAATAAATATTTTCTTATAAAGTACTTAAATTTAATTTAATTTAATATATGCACAATATTAAATATGCAGTTATATTTTTATATAATTTTAGTAAAAATTATGTATATATATGAATGTATGAACAAAATAAACTAAATTATTTTCATGCCGCAAAATTTTCATTTCTCTGATAGAGTACAAAAAACAAATTATAAAATCTTGAACCTTAACTGTATAAGGATAAGTTCTTTAAATATAATAGTTATTCAAATCTTAATAATTCAATAGTTTATTTTTTTTTAATTAATGTGTAAATTTAATTAACTGAACATCAATCGTTGCAATACAGCGATTCTGTTGTTAAATATATTATTTTCATAGAAATTCATAGAAATTAAAAAAAAATTGAGTTCGTAGAATTATATAAATGTAGGATTATGTTTTACCATGCGATTTGCAAACATCTTATCCTTATACTTTTAAACTTTAGAAGACAAAGAGATTTTATAATCCATGTGTAGCACGTGCGTATATTTTTTAAATAAAAAAGTATGATTCAACCGTGCGTTGAGTATTTAAAATACAATTTTCATTTATTATCTGTTTCGGTTCTGATATTTCCACAATGCATTATTGTTGGAGGGAGTCTTTAATGAAAATTGAGGGAAAGGTAGATCCTAGAAAGGGAGAGAAAAAACTCGGTGATAGTTGATGACAAATCGAATATAAAACACGCGTGAACTTAATTTACCCAGAATCAGTAAGCAAATTTTCTGTAAAGACGATATTGAATTTATTTGATATTTTAAATTTGTAAAAATAATGAAAAAGATTTTAAAAAATAGCAAAGATTTATAAAAAAATAACTGATACTTAATATTATAATAGATGAACAAACATTTTTCAAGAAATTAATCTACTTTTATAATGAGCATTGCACTTCTTAATACAAAGTAGATATTAACGAGCCGCTGTAAATTAATGGTAATTATAGAACGATCATTATTAATTGTTAGATATCGAATGACAATATCGAATGGCAATAAATGATGTAAATTCTCATACTTCATTGTATATAATGTTGAAATCCAATTATGTTTATCTATGTTTTGAGACCGTGGTAAATAAATATATTGATAAATAAAGATGTTTAAAAAAGGACCAAAGAAAATTCTCTTTCCTTCATTCAACTATTATTTTTTATATTTTAAATTAGTACTAAAGTTATTGATTATAAAGTTACAGTAACCATTAACGATTCTTCTAAATAAATTGTTTAAGCTTCGAAAACGATTTTTATATACTTTGTATTGTAGTCAGGTAATCAATTCATAAATATATAAAGTTTTCTGTAAATTTATTGGTCTAAAATCAAATTTTGTAAGTAAAATATAATATATGGATAAGCAAGTTTATATTTTCAATAAATATTATTACATTAAATATTTAAATTATATTATGATACTATGAATTATTATGATATTATGAAAAAATTTTAATAATCAATGATAACTTCGTATTCATTTTTGAAAATATTTTCAACTTACGATGAAAAATAGGCATTTTTTAAAATGAAACGGTACATTCCATGCCTTTTTATATAATCTTATGAAATACTGTATTAATGGTTTATTGATTTAATGGAGTAACGAGATTTTTATTTTACTGAGAAAGATTAATTTATTCTAAATTAATTATAATATCAATTTTTTGAACTTCTTTATAATTTTTATAATCGTTTGTAAGATAATAGCTATCAGTAATATTAGAGTAGCTTTTTTATTGACTCCTATGCATTCATATGTATGACTTAGTATGTAAATTATTGATCCATGGTAGTTGACGAATCTTTTACTTGTTACATTGCTTTGAGTTCCAACGGCCTTTTAAAATTGCTTATTATCGTAACATACATTTTTCATGATTTTAAAGCATCACGCGCAGTTAATTCACGACTACGTTTTCCTCAATCGTTTCTATGTTTTTATTTTATTTGCGCGAAGTTTCTGGAAAAATATAAAGTCCCATGCGATTCGAAAGTAGCCGAGTTCAAGAATTGCTCACGTCTACGGAGGCCGTTCACACAAACTTGGCTCATGAAATCCTGACCTTGCCAAGGTCAGGGGAGATGGGAAAAGAGGCGCACGATATTCGAGCGACGCAGGTGTAGAATACCGTGTGAGCAAAAGTGTGTCGCATTCAGGCTATCGAACTCTTAGTCGACCCTGTCATTCGATTCAGATGATCTTTTTAATTACATGAAAGTTGCGGTTTAAGGCTATCAAATTTAAGGCTATCGCTCTTCTTTATTATAATAAAGACTCATTCGAGTTTTATGTATCTTTTCATAGAATTATCATCGATATGCGGCTAAAATTCTAGAATAGAATTCTTATATTTCAAATTAATATTTTCAAAATAATATTTGTTGCAATATTTAATGTTTTAAAATCGAGATTTTGAAATTTCAAGTCCATAATTATTGCTGCCTAGTCTATAATCTCAATTAATACTCTTCGACGCAATGAGTTTTCGACATTTTACAAAGATCATTATTACATGGCCTATTGACATTTTTAACCTTTATACAATACACTGCTAAGTTTAAATTACAAATTTTTTTAGTTATTTTCAACAAAATAATAATAAGAATACTAATCAACGTACGATAATAATTTTAACATATTTTATTTTATAAAATGAATAGATAAAAAGTTGTAAATTTCTAGGCGCACAAGCATGTTTTCTCCTAAATTGCTTGTTTACATTTAAAATAAAATATAATAATAGGATAATGATAATACAGACTATACATACAGATCTATATCAATTTGTGATACTTTGCGTTACTGATTTAAAATAAACATATTATGCGACCTTATTTAAAGAACGATTTAACAATTATTTATACTGATTTTTACTTCCATATAAGTATCGCGAGAAAGAATATTAAATTATTTAATTTTTTATCATACACCAGTAGTAATTATGGAATATAATTTATTAACTAATGAATTTTTTATGAACCATTTACAAATTATGATATTTTCGCATATTTTCATGTAACCTAATAATTTTACTAAAACAAGTCGTATAATATGGCTTTTAATTTATAACACAAAACACAAATATTTAAATCGTATTTAGTTAAATACATTACTAATTTGCTTAATATTAATGATTAAATTCTTATCCACATTATTTTAATATTTAAAAGTATTATTAAAACGTTGTTAAGTTTTTATAATATGTCTAACTTTTATTATACTATTCTATGCAAATAAAGATAGTACTCATTTTTCTTTTTATTGTAAGTAAAATTATTTATTTATTATAAAGACTATTTAATAATTTTATTTACTTTATTTAATTAAATTAAAGAATAAAATGTTCGCTTGATCCTTCTGTTATGTAGCAGAAATTTAGTTAAATAATTTATAATTTATATAATAAGAAATTAATTATTTTAATTCAATGAATTTGGTAATACATGCGCAATATCATATTAGTGTAATGTGTACTTACCAATAATGCTATATTTGGCATTATGACAATATCTTCTTCTGTTCCATTGCTTAATTGCGGAATGAATTGCAAAGGATGAAATGGTACAGCTGTCACTGTTCCATTATCATTAAATGTGACGTTCCCATGCTCTAAGAGTTCTCTAATAATTAAAAAATGATTATTTGCAAATTAGTTAATATAAAAAATATAGTTAATATATAAAAGTTTAATATCATTATATTTTTTTAAGATTAAAAACACTATTCATTTAATTTAAAATTAATGTCAATTAAATAAATGAAGAAAAAACAAAGGATTGGAAACAAATTAGTGTAAAATGATTATTAATTTACTTAAAATTTTGCTATTGTTCAATGTAAAATAAAACTATAACTTTTACTATAACTATAACACGCTAAAAAATCTATAAATCAATAATTATGAAAATTATTTATTCAAAAAGTACTTGGAGTTTACTCACTTGTATACGTAAGGTCCAATTTGTTCAAATTTTAGTTTGAAATCCTTTCCATTTATATATTTCTCATGGTTTGTTATGTTGAAGAGGTAAACTTTGAGGTAGAGATCGACTGGTGGTAACCTCCAAATCTCATAAATTTCACCACCTGGCCCGAACGTTGCCTTCCATTTAAAGAGAGCTTCATAAGGTTGCAAGAACAATAATAAGCAACCTGTTACTAACCCCATCAGACCGATTGTCATCAAGAAAAAGATACCTATAATGACAAAGAAAAAAAGAAAATATACTGAATTTTTATTTTATAGTAATCATTAACTAAATAAAATAATAAATATAATAAAACTAAATTATAATCTAGAAGAATAAAATTCACAATACATTATTATTTCGGTGATACATTGGATATGTACAATTTGTTATCTTTTTAGTTGATATATAATTGGAAACTTATTACGAATATTAAGTTATAAATGTCTAAGTAAGACTTCATAGACATATAATTGTATTTTTATACAGTAATTTAATGCATTTATAAGCTTATTAATATCGTTTATATATATATATATATATATATATATATATATATATATATATATATATATATTAACAGTGATATTAAAGTCTTTTCTTTGGAATAGAGATAATAAAATAAACTCCGCTTACATACATTTGTATGTATATGAATGCAAATCTAATCTTTAGAATATAAATAGACTTCAAATTCATTCAATTAAAAATATGACAATAATTAATATTTCTTTATTGTGAAAATTTTATTGTTTAATAATAAACTTTATTTTAATGTATGTCAAAATAATTTACTCAGTGATTTTTGAAATATAATAAACACATTCAATTTTGTAATGAAAAGTAAGGAATTTTTTTTGTGGCTCTTCTGTTGTTGATACGGTTTCGAGATTCCATATGGTGATATTTAATAAGGTTTTGATATGCACATGAATAAGAATTTTTCGTGACTAAGCAGGTAATAGGCAATTTTTAGCGAAAATAATGTATTTTTCATAGGTTCAGCTGAAAATTTATTTATATACGCATTTAAAGTGCGTGCAATCATTGAGGTAAAGCATCCCTTTTGTACGTTTACATGAATTTTAATTGCATTATTGCAAACAAAAGTCACTTATTAAATATTTTAATAACTTTATTCAATTTTTTATTTTTATGATAAAGAAATCTTTATATTATAAAAATATAAATGATTAAAGTTTTGTATAATCAAAGAATTCTTAACATAGACGAATAAATTGTCAATTAACTATGGTTATATTTTAGGATAAACTAATTTGTCTAGTTGTCTTTTCTTTTTCAAATTTTTTTGGTTATATATAAAAAACTATCGAATCAGCTTCATAATTATAGGCCACCATATGAAATGTGGTATAGTTTTATTTCGTATTTTTCTTTTTTTGCGACTATTTCATGTTATATGCGACAGATAAACTTTAACCCTGATTTTATTTAGTCAGGTTTGCATTTAATATCATCGCCAGACATCTGTAAATAATATATAACTTCTTTCATACCAAAGAAAAATATTTAAAAAAGTCAAACTGGAGGCTGTTTTATATCAAAATTGACCCCTTTCAATTTTTCAATAATTTCATGATTTATTGAAATTTGATTGATTTTTTTTTAATGAACAATACTTTGTATTTACATTTATACTGTACACTACTTACATTGCATTCCATCTCTCTCTGTCTCTCACTCTTGTATTTGCTAATCAATAGTTATTCGACAGATGTTATATTGAAATTATTTAAATATAATATTGAATGTGATGGTTTAAACGATTAAAAGATTTAAGGATTTTTAAAAAGTTTTATTAAATATTTGTTAAAAAATTATTTCAATATCCTTCAATGTTTTATAATTTTTTATTACAATAAGATGCTCTTTATGTTGTATTATTTGATTCACAATGTTATTTATCGAATGAATATTAGATTTTCATTTGTAATAACAAAATGATAGCACTGTGGAAATCCAAATATTGAAAATCATTCATAATTGCTTAAGTATTAAAACAATACTATATTATTAATTAAAAATAAAAAAATAATGACATTAATATATACTTTTTAATTGATACAATTATCATTTTAATTAAATTCTATTGTTGATTATTATCACTAATTTATTCATTACGTGCTTCATAATCTTTTCATACAATTATAGTTATACTATATATAACCACATATTAAAAATACAAAAAACATATATTATTAATGTTATATTTCTATAATAATACATAAGGTTAAAAAAGTAAGTTTAAAAAATTATTTAAAGTAAATTATAGCATTAAGTAAGACTTCAAAATTTACATTTTTAAAAACGTTAATTTCTTAAAGGAAAACCATTATTATTCTAATCAATTTAAGTTTTGAAATTTATTTGTACATTTTTCTAATAGCAATTTTAAGTGAGTCAAGCGGAACATCGATTTGATTATTGATGATAAATTCGATAAAAATTCTTATTAAAATAATTAATGATGAAGTTAGCATTAAGAAAATATAAAAATTTGTTAAATGCCATTGACAAATATTATGAATTTGTGACTATGTTCGCAATATGAAGATATAAATAATAACGAATACGATCGGATTATAAGAATTTTGTGATAATAAAATGACCTCAATAGATAACGTGTTAATACATATATGTTGTAAAACTCTATATTTAGTTTTAAGCATTTTAGCTACATAGATATTCTGTAATTTAATTTCTTTATTTTTTATTGAAATAAATACATTCAAAATAATAATATGATGAAATTTTTAGTATTATATAATTTATGATATTAAAGTATAATAAAGTAAAATAAAATATAATATTTAAATATAATGAAGTATAATAAAGTACAATATTAAAACACTACAATTATTTTTAATATATTATGTAAATTTCTTTTCGTAACCAACAAATATTATTGTATTCGGGAAATCATTTACATTCCTACATACAAGGCAATATGTCATTGAAGCAACGTTAGGTCTTAGTAGAGAATATATTGCATGTTAACTAAGTAGTAGAAAAATAATTATTATGTCATCTGTTTTGCTTTATGAAAATTTTGTTTTTAATAAATTTGACTAGGATGTATGTTTATTTTAGAAAAAGAATTTTATATACTTTTATCGTGTTGATTTTGCTTTTATAATAATTAAAATATCTTTTAAAAATTCAATATTAAAATATTTGTAAATATGTTTAGAAAAATATACAATTTTAACTATTAAATATTCTAACAATATTGATAATGAAACGTTGTTTTCATATAAGACATATTTTATATGAAATATTTATCTTAATTATGATTTACAATTGAATTTTCAATAGGAATATTTCATACTTAAGACATTAGACAAAATTTTAAACCAATTAAAATTCCTACTATAATAATAAATTTAAAAATAATAATATTATAAATAATTTGATATAAATGTCAGTTCATTTCTATTCACTTATATTTAAATTAAGTTTTTGAATATGTTATTCGGCTATATTTATTATTATTATTATTATAAATTTGTTATTAGTATTTTCATAATGAATGTTTTTAATTTTTTCACAAGATTTAGTTAGCTTATTTATTTATACTTGGGTATGCACTCTATATTTTTTAATGTAAAAAAATTTTTCGTAAATTTGAAAAAGTTGCTTACACTATTCATAGATTATTGATATAGAGAACATTATATTCAATGAATTTATTTACATATCTTTTATATGACATTTTAAGTATATTCTAAAAGCAGTAGTTTATTAAGAAATTGACATTTAATATAAAACCTACATGAGAATAAAATTGATATTAAAAATGTGTATTTCATTATATTACATATGTACATATTGCAAAAAAACAAAAAAATAAGCAAACAAAAAACAAAAAACATAAAAAGTCATATCAGAATAATTGGCTTTTGTCTATCTACAGTCAATCGATCAGACAGCATCATACGAATTTAAAGTATGCAGTTTGTTAATAGCGTGATTCAGAAATGAAATCACGTATGGTGAGGTATGATATCATTGTCCACTGCTTGCATTATGGTAGTAGTCAGTTTTACGTATAAGTTTTCCACAATTTTACAAGAACGTAAGATTGACTGACTCATAAATTACCAATTTTAGATATTATGGTAAGTAGAAATTGTAAAGTTACTTGTCTGGGATTTTAAAATTGCTGCCACTTGTATTTAGAAGTTAAATTTTACAATATATAACCATTTATAAAAACATCAAAATTGTGAAAATTAATTCTAAATATTTTTAATGTAATTAAAATATATAGCAATACTACATAAAGATTCCCATTTTATAATTTGAATGAATTTTCTTTTATAATTAAAATGGCTTTTTAAACTGTCGAATAATTCGTATTGACAAATACGTATCATTCAAAAATGTATATTATATGAATGTATGTATTACACAATAGACCATTTAAATATACCAAAAATTAAGATTTTTTAAAATTATTTTAGATTAGAAAATAAAAAATACGAAAGGATTAAATATATTAGAATGTTTATAAATGGTTTTTGTAGATTATAAGATAAACTCTCTATCAAAATATTTATATTTGTATTGATATTTATTTTAATAATTTTATTTTTCTACGAATAATTCTTGCTTTAGTAAACTTACAAAAAATAATTTATGAAATTGAAATATTAACAATGAAATAAGTATTATCATGCTTTTTTTATTCATATCCTTATTATGTTTTCTTGAATTAGATTTAAAATTGATCATAACGTTATTTATAAGTATTTTCGTGTGTTGACAAAAAATAATATATAAATAACTGATTTAATATTATTATATTAAAATAAAATTTGTGCGTATAATTAAAATATAAGAAATGATTATAATAGTTTTATTATATTTGAAGAAATATTGACAAGATGTTGAGTAAAGGAACTTAATTGTTAATATAATTTCAATATTTATTTACATGAATTATTTATTAAATTTATGAAAATAATTTTTTTCTTATTTATGAAGGTATATATAGAGTAAGTTAATTTGTATAAATTATGTCATTGACAAAAATGAATTATAGAATAGTATGTGAAAAATAAAATTCCCTAAAATCAATTAATTTGAATCAATTCAATACTAAACATCAATTAACTTGAACATCTCAACATTTTTAATTTTTAAATTTACATGAGTTTTCGTTTCAAATAAGTCATGAAAGAAAAGAGATATCTGGACACGTGCATT